TATGATTGAAACCAGGTTTAAGTTTATAAAAACAATATTGAAACAATATGTAAACACCGCTCAACGTGATTGGGCGGATTACGTACCAATTGCTGTTGCTGCACTAAACAGAACAGTAAGTGTTTCTACGAATTACAGTCCATATGAATTGTTATTCGGGGTACCCCCCACCTTCCCCTCCGATTTTGGATTACAGGTAGCACCGAACGGGGTCCCACTTGATGAACGGTTAACTCGGCTGGCGGAGATAAGACGGGAAGCTCTGACGGCAATTTTAAAAGCACAAACTACTCAAATAAAAAATGCTAATAAAAAAAGACGAGAAGTAGACTTGGAAATAGGTTCTGAAGTTCTAGTTTTCATGCCACAAATAAAACCAGGTTTAATGAAAAAGCTATGCATACAATATCGCGGACCTTACACAATAGTGCGTAAAATAAATCAGAGTATTTATGAAATAAATTTCGGTACTAAAAACAAACCCAAATTAAAAAAAATTCAAGCTGAAAGATTACGCCTGTATAAAAATCCGGCAACGTACAGAGCTAATATTTACAATATTAATGTACTACAAAAGCCGAACAGAGCCTCCCGCCACATTTACTGCTGCCGAGTTAAACGATTGACGCGAAAGGTTTCAGGTAAACGAGGCTACAATAAAAATGCAACATCAGAAAAAACCAGCATCATGACACTGGATACATATGCGCCTAAAGTAACATTGGAGCCGTATCCAGTCCCTCTAAGCATCACGTCACTGGTAAATAACCTTCCCCTTCCGCCTCCCGCTGTGACGCAGGAACAGCAGATGACTGATGACGCGTACAGAAATATTTTTAAAGAGAGAAAACCAAATTCAGAAGTTTTAACACCAAATAATTATAAAAATCGATTTCATTTACAACTTTTTTTGGAAGAAATTCAAGCCGCTAGAGCTCTTAAAGCGTATAAATTAAGAAATGTGGCAATATTGGAAGACGCAGAATCATCAGTCATCTGTGTTTCTGCACCACACGACGAAAGCTCCCAGATCCAACTGGGAGATAAACTTCGAGTAACATTATTGAAAACACCAGAAAGTAATCATTACGGTACAATCAGAAGTTTTCACGACGGTCTCATGGAAATTACTCTACCACCCTCTTTCTTTTTCGACTATAAAAAGGGGGATATGGCCAATATATCATTTCTGCAAAACAGGTATCCTTTTAAAGTAGCACATAGAGGTATAGATAGCGCGCAAGATTTTTTTGAAAAAACTCTTTTTCCCAGAAAACTGCCAAAAATACCGAAAAACTTCAGCGACCCTATACAGTATATAAAGCCGGAAATAGAAAATAATCCACAACAATTACAGGTAATTCAAAGTGTGTTAAGAATCTCTTCACCTGTGCCGCTTATTATTTTTGGCCCTCCGGGGACCGGGAAAAGTTCAGTAATTTTGGAAACATTACGCTTATTATGGGGAGAGCGCCATAAGCGCAACTTAAAAGTACTCATTTGTGCGCCAAGTAATTCAGTAATTGATTCAATCGTCATGAAACTTCTTGAGATCGTACCAGCTGAAGAAATATTACGTATCTACCCCTGTAATAAGTGTAAAAGTTCAATTCCTAACAGTATACTTCAAGAAAAATGTTTTAATTGTGGCCGAGATAATGAAATAATTACCTTCAAGTTAGATCAACTACAAAACCCAACATTTATTGCCTCAACGCTTATTGGCGTCGGTAAACTAGTATCAGCTGGACTAGGGAAAACTCCACATTTTTCGCATATTTTTATCGATGAAATATGTCAATCAAATGAGCCAGAAGCGTTAATTCCAATTTGTGGACTAGCGCACACGATGAATAATCCCACGCGGATTATCTTAGCAGGAGACCCATTTCAACTAGGGCCAATCGTGACGTCAGACTGGGCAAAGAAATTTGGCTTGGGGATATCTTTAATGGAACGTTTGATGAAATTACCTATTTATAAAAGAAATGTGGCAACAAACTCATACAATCCAGCAGTAGTTGTAAAATTAGTCCAAAATTTTCGATCACATCCATACCTATTCAAATTTTCTAATGAAATGTTTTACAGCAATGAACTCGTCTCAAAAGGACCACTTAATCTAATAAATCTGGCAATAGGTTCTAATATTCTACCAAATTCTCATGTCCCCCTTATATTTTGTAACGTTAGAGGAGAGGAATTTCATGAATCAAACTCCATGAGTTATTATAATCCAACGGAAGTAAATACAGTAATTAAATACGTAACACTTCTCATGCACCCCCCAGGATTAAATAATCGACAAATCACCGAGGAAGAAATCGGAATAATAACACCTTATCGCAGCCAAGTTATGCATTTAAAAACTAAATTGCAAAACTTAAATTTGAGTAAAATTCAGGTAGGAACAATAGAATCATTTCAAGGTATGGAAAAACTTTGCACTATTATAACAACCGTCAGGTCAAAAAAATCGAATAAAA